TCTACAGAAACTAAACTTCGCAACAGCGAAGATAATATTATTCGTAGAAAGAACTGCTATTTGAAGAGGATTAAGCAAAATTTTATATCATAATATCGGTTGCAGTTTTAACCCAATAAGAATCTCTTTTTTTCCTTTGCTATATGATTTTCTGTTTAATACTTACCCTTTCCTTTCAGGATACTCATATGAAAATTACAGTGTCGTAAATTCTTATTTAAAATGTTATGCGTACTCACAACATTGACATTCGAATGAAGGGCTTGAGGCATTTCATTATTACTCTCATAGGTCGCTCATCAGTGGCTCAAAATATATTTAGTCATGAAATCTTTTTAAAAGTCCTAGGAAGTAATTAATATATGCGGAGTATTTCTTTCAGTTAATATAGGCTGAAATTCCCACTCCCTGTGCGTTTTTGCTTTAAAAAATTCGATATTACAATTAGCTAATTATATTTATCTTGTTATTATTGTCTTGACATTACATTTATCCTGTTAACTTGTATTATTGTTTCAGATTAAAATCATAAAACCAAACAGATGGGAAAAAAATGCACTGAATACAAAACATTATTTTCTTACGACAACTCTTAAATACCCTTAAGGATTACTTTATGTATATTAAGGAATGGAATAGTCGTAAAATGAAAAGGATTTCGAATGCCATAAATCCCTTAACACGGAACATCCAATGAATGAGCACCAAATAAAATGCAATTTTTTAAATGCTGAACAATAAAATAAAACATAACCGTAAGAACCATTTATTATGCTTTGAAAGAAAATCTCATTTTCAAAACTCTTTGCTATTTTCGATATATTTTATCTTTTTACCAAAATTATTTTACTTACCCGAACCTCTTTGGCTGAGATTTAAAAATTGTGTTCCTTTGAGGTAAGGAAACATAAAAATGGCCTTTTTGATAAAACTCCCGTTTAAGTATGATGCATGTAAGAAAATTGTTAAGATTTAACTTCGAAATGTAGTTACTGTCTCGTGGGAGACATGTAACGTTTTTAAAAAAGATTTGAAAATCGTAAAACTGGTATTAATAGAATTTTCTCTAAACTGTATACTTCTTTCGTTTTAGTTAACAAAGTGTTTAACAAGATAAAAAATGCTTTTCGTATTTTGTGAATAAAAAGTTTTACGAAATTAAATGCTCATGTTATTACACAGTAAATGATTTATCATGTTTTTGTAAATATTCGGAATTGAATAAATTATATAATAAGTATAGATTTTTATGCCTCATACAAAGTTCTATATGTAAATATTTATTTATGAATGAATTCATATAACATTATATTTCCTTGAGAGAGAGATGTTTTTCGCATTTTCCCGTATATTATTTTAGTCGATTATAAAGTTAAATTCAGTTCTGTTTAATGTAAATATCATTCTAATATTCTAAACTGCAGACGATGTTTTCACGATCTTAAGTTATCAAAACCAGAATGCTAATTAAGTATACTAGAAATAAAATGACTAAAAATTTATTTGGATTTCAAATCAAAGTACAGAAATCAACTAACTAACATACACCTACACCATTGCCTGAGAGATTTTAAAAAATAAACATACCGGTTGTAGCAAGGCCAACACCTGTGCATTCCCATAGGTACACAGGGTGTCTCAAAAGGTCGTTGCCAAACTTAACATGCTTATTTGTCATTCCATGACAAACAAGATTTGTGTCCGAAGATGAGAACGGCAACCGCTAGAGGGCGATACCTGCAAGCGTACAAAAGAAGAAAGGAAGGATGTGGAAAGAGGTGTTAAAATTACTTTTGTTAGAAAAAGTGGTTAAATCGCAGAAGAAGTTCAAAATTTCTTCTATTCACCACACTGCATGCTTCACAATGTCGATGCATGGATTCAACAATTCTTACAAATATAAACGGTGATTCTTGTTGTTTGACTTCTCCAATTAATCAATTTCTGCGCAATTCAAGGTTTTAGATAGTAGAAGCTCTCTGCACAACTATTACTGATATTCACCGAAAACATCGAGCAATATCGTGGAGCAAACAACTCAAGGAGAAAACGTTGTTGTACTATAGTTATAAGACATTAGGGTACAAAATTACCGTGGGGTAAAATAAAGCAGTGCAAATTCTTCGCAGTTTTAAAATGTTTTTAAAATATCGTCTAATAAAATAGTGGCCAAATAATAAAGCACCTGCAAATCAGGGCATGAAGATAACATCGAAGGCATGCATTTTCTGACTGTAAAAAATTTGAATGAAATTTCGCACAAGGATTTGAGATCGCAAGAAGTAAGTAATAATTTCACCTTTATAGTTCATATTTTTGTACTAACTAATAAATTTTTACTGGAAAACAAAAAGAAAAATTTAAATTAGTAAAAATTAATACTACATAAGCAATTAATTGAATTTTAAACTTATTTTGCTTATTAATAAAAGTCATGATTTAGTTTACATTTCTTAGAAATGCGTGTTAATAGATTTTGATGGAACGCTATAGAATAAAAAAGACAAGAAAGAGGAAGATGCACGAATTTAAAATTCTGTTAATTTCTGTAGGCATTGCATTTTACTAATTTCTAGATGTTGGGTCGTTAAGTTTCTTTCTTACTTTCAAAAAAATGTTTAAATATAGAAATAAAAATATTTTTTACTTCTTCTTGTGCTGACAACTTACTGTACGAAATTTCATAAAATATTTTTATAGTTAGAAAACACGTGTCTGCGATGTTATCATCATGCGATGATTTGTAGGTGCTTTATTTGTTATCACAATAAAATGCACGACGGTGTTCCAAAACAGCGAAGATTTGGCTCAGCGACGATGTTCTAAACAGCGAAGCTTTATTTTATACTATGATGTTTCAGAACTATTTTTTTTTTTTTTTTGCTGCGATATTGTTAGCTGTACAACTGACTACGTGTTCGCTTGCGATGCGTTTGCTACAATGCTGTCAGCTATAACCCTACTGCTGTACAAGATTTCCAAGAAAAGAAAATGCATTAACTAGTAGCATTAGTGCTTGCTCCAGATGACAAGAAAGTAGTTTTATTACGGCTAACTGGAATAGTCCATCATCACTGTATTAAACTTGCATTCTTACTCCTACTGACAACTTCTCTTATTTACATATTCTGGTGGAGCAGACGAAACCGTAATAGACGGAGAAGATTTTTAACCGAATGTTGCGAGCTACGGGTTCGTGAAAATCTGTTCAGATAATTATTCATGAAGAGTAGGAAAGAATTAACATTTTATTACAATTAAACAAAATATAGCAAAATTAACAGCTGTAAACTAGTCCACATCTGCTTGAGAAATGAGAAATATCGTATATTACCTTTATCACTCGAAGAATAAACTCTGAAATTCAGTATTTCTTTCTGAACTGCAGTCTATCTGAAATCACACAGAAGTGATTGATAAGTTCATTGCTTTTAGATTCGTATTTATATGGGGTTGCCCGGGCTTCTGGAAGCTTCGAGGAAAATCGCGCCTAGAGCTCCGAAAATGCTTTTTTCCGAAATATTTAAAATATCGCCATACAACATAGTTCGACAATTGACTCGAAAGCTGTTTAGAAGGCTTTCTGCTTATATCGTGGATTCTACATGAGACAGTTTCATACGTAATTTAAAACATTCTTGGATATATAAACATAAGATCTAGAAATATTTATAAAAAAAGAGTACTTACACATAAAACATGGCGCCATATATATCTGGCAGAAATTACGAAAAATAAAAATACCAAAAATATAAGACTAATGTTTAATTAAAATAAATCTTCTAAACGCTCCTTTAAAAACTAAAATAAAAACTGATTATTAAAAGGAACTTTAACAGGGCTCACTTTTGCATATCCAAAGCAATCAAAAGCAACTACAGTTATAAATTGAAAGATAAATTAAAGCTCTTATGCCCCATTGCATGACCTTACTTTGAGAATTTTAAAAGACCACACAGGAAATAATGTTCGCACGGCATTTCGTGCGATAACATTTTTCAAGCCACTTGGATATAAATATTCTGATCATGTTGATACATGTAAGCTGCTTAAGTGTTTGTCGCCGATAGTTTATTGTTGCCACTCGGAAAAATGAACGCGGAAATTAACGTTTCCGCAGTTTTTAATTAATATCTCGGCCGATTAGTCGAAGTCGTACGAAGATGAGAACGGTATCGATGGATTCGGAAAATTTTTCGAAATCCGAGGATACGCGTCTCGAATTTCAACTCGGCACCGTTTCGTAGATATTCGAGAAAAAAGAATTTGGCACGTAGCCAAATCCCTCTAATATGGTTGGTTTGGTTTGGTTTATTAGATTACGGAAAGGCACTCGAGGGCTATCTGCCTTAAGGAGGGATGCCTTCGTGGACGACTTTTTAAGGGAAACTGGCTCGTATACACGTTACACATGGGGAAAACCACGAAAACACCCATGCAGCTAACCCGTTCGCGGGATTCCAACCTCGGACCAAACTACCAGTATTCAGCGACGTTACCGCTCGGCCGCTGGTGGGCTCCCTCTAATAGGGAAAACCCAAGAAAGAAAGTGGAAACCCCATATATTTATATGCGGCTTAAGTGTCTGTTTCTCGCCGATAGTTTATTGGTTACTTGCGTAACTGTACTAGCCAATGAAGTGAAGTTGCCACGGTACAGGGTTGACGTTTCAATTGAGACGTAGACAATTTCTTGTATAAGATAACAACCCAAGAAATTGGAAAGACTCCGTTATAAATAACTCCTTTATATATAATTCGCCCGTTAAAGCTAAATCTTTTATGCTTATACTGCTCACGTGACCCAAACTGGCGTTATCCGAAACCTTACTTTATTTTATTAACGTGAGCATACGGAACTTTATTTAAAATCAGTCTTAGTTGGCTAATTGTTTTGAAACTTCCTGCGTAACGTTTATATTAATACTTATAAGGCATGAATTTGAGTTTCTAAATTTTAGAATGTGATTCATTTGCATAATGCTTTTGTTTTTTTTCTAGGAGAAGTGTTCTGTGAGGCCGTTTGGGATTCCGTTTTGTGCTGGCCTTCTATTCCAGCAGGACAGACTGCTTGGAGGTCCTGCTGGCAGGTTCTGCAGTACGTTCCATCCTTGGATGTCAACAGCGTCGTCCTCCCACCAGGTAAATATTGATTTTTCGAAGAATGAAACAAGCTTGAATATTATGTATGAAAATGGGGAAAGAAAGCGAAAATCACAAAATGGATTTTCTTCAGTTTTGAAAAGAAAAAAATATACGATCGGTCTTGGAATGATATTAGATCGAAAGCAGTAAAACGAAAAAAAAAAAAAAAAAAAAAAAAAAAAAAAGGCCGATGTATTTTCGGCACGTTTCGTTTAGGATATTTTTCTTTCGGAGATTTCCTTCGCAGATAAGTACACAGCATTCATCATTTTTTATGGCTCAGATGTTTCTGAATATTGTTTCTTAAATCGACGTCATACGCATTTTCATTATTCTTGCTATTTTATTCTTGCTATTTTCATTATTCTTGCTATTTTATTCTTGCTATTTTCATTATTCTTGCTATTTTCTATTCTTGCTATTTTATTGAATATAGTTTATCTGACCAAACGATTCAATTAATATATCTAAATATAATCTTCTTAATGATTATAACTCTTAAAAAATAACTTTCTTAGTGAAATCTGGAGTAAATTTACTGAATTTTCTTAGGAATATAATTTTCTACAATATTTTCATAATGGAACTTAATTTCTTATTCTCTTCATCTTTCTTAGCATTTTATGATACTAATGCTTTTGCTGCTGACCGCTAAAAACTTATGAAAACGAAAAATGTGTAATGACTTCAGCTAGTGTAATTTCGTAAAAATATTTAATATTTTTTACTTATATATCATGCATTAAATCCATTTATTTAAATCAGGGTTCTCAACGTTTGATAGACGCTTACCATCTAACATAAATTGAAACCTTTAGTACCACCACTACATTTTACAATGATTATTTTTCAATTTCTGAGAAGAAATATTTAAAATATATATATGTGATGTACCAGCTTTTGTCCGGAATAATAGCTTGGTGAAGAATCATAGATGTAGTCGTAGCTTAGATTATCAGACAATAAGTTAAAAAACAGGATCCATTTATTATATTTCAGGGAAAATAGCAATTACAAAAAATCAAGATCTCCGGAGTAAATAAAAAGAATTATTAATAAACTTTTTGTATGAAGTTTACTGCATCGTGACATTTAAAAAGCCCCCGATATTCCTTTGCGAGTCCTTTTATAGCCTCTGGAAAGGCGGACTTCCAAGAAATGACGTCAGCCTCGTCAGACATTCCAGTTCGCTTTAAATGTCTCCAGAACATTCTATAACTTACGTGTAGAAAAGGCGGGAAAAACAAACTTGACTACTGGGCTGTGGATTTAATTCCACGTACTTTCACATAAGAGAACGTCGCCATTAAAAAATGAAAAGAACATACAGTTAGAATTTTAAGTGTATTCTTGACTATGGAATTTTATATTACATATATATATATATATATATATCCCATTTGTACAACCTATTCGCTATTTGTATTAAATATGCACACATTAAAAAATATTAGATTAAAAATGTGTTATCATTTAATTATCAAATTTAAGCTATAATACTTTAATTCTAAAATTTAGGCCTGTTTAAAAGAAATCAATTTCCTTATGTCTAGTCTTATTTCACTTAGTCTGAATCGTAAATTAGCATCCGCATTTAATTTTGTTCTGCATTTATTTTTCAAATATAACATGGAAGAAAATCCTTCTTCACACAAATCGGTTGTGCAAAAGCCAAATAAAATTTAATAGCTTCTTTGAATTTCCTTTAAATTCTTTTTTTCGGTTCAACTAAAAGTTACTGTGTTATTTTTGAAATCTTCCGTTAGAGTTCGATCACAGGTAATTTCTGTTAATTGTTCATTTTCTTCACGAGATAAAATTCGAGGTATATTTGAACAAAATGCATTCCTAATCCAATTTTCTTTTTCATAATCATCGGGAAAACACATGTTGAAATTATTTATCCATGAAAAACAATGATTTTTAATGTCGGATGTTGATTCTTCTTTTATTTTAAGATTATTTTCGGTTAGAAAACTTTCTAAAATTAGTAAAAAGCTTAAAATATTATTATCTAGTCCCTTGATTATTAACTCCAGTTTTTTATCATTGCATTGATTTTTATCTCTAATGGTAAACAAATTAACACTTTGACCTTGTAATCCTAAATTTAATTCATTTAACCTTCCAAAAATATCACCTAAATATGCTAAACGTTCCGACCATAGTTCACTAAATAAACAATTTTGCAATTCAAATTTTGAATCACAGAGAAAATTTGAATTTGTAATCGAAGCTCAAAAGGACGATTTAAAACTTTGCCTCTGGATTACCACCTTACTTCGGAATGTAACGAAAGCGTTTTATGTTCACTACCGATTTCTTGCCATAAAATCATAAATATTCTTGAATTTATACACCGGCTTTTAATAAAATAAACAATTTTCAACAGCTTGATTTAAAATGATTTTCCAACTTTCGGAATTATTTTGACTACTAAAGCTGCACGATAAATGAGGCAGTGAGTAAATTAGATTTCAGGTGCGGCTTTCTTTATTTGAGAAATAACACCGGAATGTTTTCTTGTTAAAGCGTCACTGCGTACAGCAATGCACTTATTCCAAGGAATTTCATTCTCAGATATAAAATTTTCAATTACTTTAAAACTTTCATTTGCAGTTGCTCTATCATGAGGAAATTCACAAAATAAATGCTCTTCTGCAATGCGTTTATCTCCTTCGAAACGTATGTATACTAATAATACGTTGAATCAGTACTTTCATCCAATTGCATTGCGAAATACTCACCCTGTTTTATTTTTTGAATAAGTGCCTCTTTTATAGAATTTGCCATTTCATGAATTCGTCGACTTACTGTATCATTTGACAACAGAATGTTATTAAGCTCATTAGCCGCTTTTCGTTGAATAATGTTAAAATGATAACTTTATCTGCTATTAATATAAGATTTTCTCCAATAGTGTAAGCCAGCCCAGTCTTAGCAATTTTTAAGATAACCACTTAAATTATTGTTGAAGAACTGTATTGTTGAAGTTGTAGAATTATCAACTATAAATTGTTGATAATTCTACAACTCTTGCATGCATATTAACTAATAACATAAAAACCTTAACCGGAGCATAAAAAACACGTAATTCAATCTCTTTTAAAGCAAACAAAATTTCATGTGTACACTACATGATTTCCTAATACGGAAAATTATACGCATTTTTTGTTGCATTTCATTTAAACTGCTCCATTTCATTTCCTCGATTCCGTAGAGATATATTTCTAAATCAATTAATTAAATTCTCACTTCGCGGCAAGGAAAATATACAGGAACTTCAAACTATCTTTATTAAAAGTCAAAATATATCGAAAAATATAAAATACCAAATACAATTAAAACAATTTAAAAAAACTTTTACAAGTAAAATGAGATTTTCTACACAAAAACAAGTAATTCGACCAGAAGGCAGATATTTCGGTGCAAAACTGAAGGTTTACTTTTGTCCCATTCGGCAAAAGAACACTGAAGTTGTAGAAGCTGACTTAATTCACTATTCTGCAAAGTTTCATATGTAAACAAATATGGCTGCTATGGTCAAAAAATTAGGCTTAGCCGCACTTAAACAACATTTAAATTGTTGATACTTCTACAGTTACTGCATGCAGATTAACTAAAGGCATAAAAACCTTAACCAGAAGATAAGAACAACATAATTCATCATTTTTGCGGATTGCGTTATTTCTAGATAATTCTATGGCCTGTGCAGCTCTGATGACGTAATAATTGGGAACTAAACTACCATTGTAAACCAAAACTTTTCTCTTCGCGTGCTCCCATCTTTCATAACTACGCACTTCAACCTCTGTCTGTGCTGTGCTTGTACGCAATTTCGCTATGCTACTTCCTATTGCAAAAACATCAATTATGTAAATGTTCTTGAACAGGCACGAATAGGGTGCCAAGTGATAATAATTATAATGCCGCATAATGCCAATTAGAAATAAAAATGGAATTAAAATCGCCTCGACTGCCAAGTTTTATTTACGAAGTCAACACATTAGCTTACTACGCAATCAGAATACTTCCTCTTCAATATAGGATTTAGGATTTAGGACGCATTAACAGGTGACAGGTGACGGAGGACGGGGACGCCTGATGTTTAACAGAGGTAAACAGGCATATGTCCCACGCCCTCCCCTATCTAGTGCAAGCAGCAACTCCCAGGAGCCTCATGGGCCACCTTGGGGAGTTTATTGAAGAATTACGTAATTGGTTACATGGCCATACAGAGGCGTCTTAGGAATACATTAGTTTCGATCGATAGGCGGATGATTTGTTACATCTTGGTTTTTAGACACTGTTAGACACTAATTACAGCATATACATACACATACAAGTACATACAATTGCACATATAAAGATACATACAAAACACTTGTAAAACATATAAAAGCACATATATAACACATATAAAACATGTAAGCACATTACATAAAAATAGAAATTAGATACTAGTTGCACACACTTATACAAGTAAAACACATACTTATAATGAAACATATTTAAGCTAATATATAGTATAAACTTACACTAAAGACACATTTAGATCATTTAGAAACATTTAGATCACATATCACATGTAAAATGCGCAAATAAACATACATAAAGCATGCAGGCACACTGTAGAATATTAATTTTGTTATTAGATGATATAGTAATTACAGATGAAACTTACTCTGGGAATACATTATGCAATACATTATATCAGGTACACAATACTTATTTAATTGAATAGATATGCAGCGCTTTTTATATACTTAATGCTTACAGAATTGATACACAATGTAAAAACAGATACACTATGCTTGTAAAGCATTAGATATTAGAATTTATACTGCGCACAATTGTACAAACGAAATAAGACACTACTACTATATACAACCAGTTATGGTGAACAATTATGCAAACAAAATTATATAACGTATTAAAAACAAGAATAAAACACTATACTACGGTATATAACATAATTGTGCACAATTATTCACCAA